AATAATGAAGGATCTTGACACTCTCATAGAAATAATGTTGAACTCCTTGAAGTAGAGGCATCTCGATGCTTAGAGTGAAGGTATCTCAGCGTTATACATATAGCGGAGGATGTCAACATTATTAAATAAACAATGTAAAACTCCTCATAGCAGAGGCATTTCAACATTATGAATATAACAAAAGATCTTGACGCTCTTATAGAAACAAGATAGAACTCATTAGAGCAAAGGCATCTCAATACTATGCATATAACAAGTGATCCAGGTGCTCTTGTAGAACTTCAATGATGTAGAGATTTGATGGAAGAGTTGTATCTCTTCATTACAAGATTTGTGTACACCTTTCACTCATGCCCTCTAACTTGTATGCACCAAAGTCGATGCTCTTGATGACTTTGTATGATCCTTCCCAATTAAGTGTCATCTTTCCTCTGATGTCTGTATTTGGTCACTTGTTGGTTTTTGGCTACTAATTTAACTTCTATTGCTTCTATTATTTCCTTTAAAAGGTCAAGATTTGATCAGGGTTTTTGTCATTGTTGTCTAGTTTTTAATGAGAGATGAGAAAAGATTTAACTCCTACCTCCACTAGGATAACTGCTTTATAACCAAACATGTTAAAAGGGGTTTCCCCGATAATTAAGTGGGAAGTGGTTTAAAGAGCACATAAAATGGCAAGTACTATCTTTTTAGGGTTGAAAGTTTTCTATTAGAGTCACTGGTACATCCTAGGGCATAACAGAAAAATTAATTTAAGAATCTCCTCTAAAGATCTACGTACGATTGATAAAAATAAGAAGAAAAAAATAGAATATTATCTTATTTCGTTTAGAAAAAGGTGAAAAGAACTGATGTAGATTCAATTATCTTCTTCCGATGTCGATCAAACCACAACCAACAATCATGGCCTCTTCATAGTTCACCCAATTTAAACAATCGCTAAGAATGGTTACTAGACCTTGCACTTAATGTAACATCAAACTTAACCTAATTTTTGGATCTTTATATTCATCATATGAAAAACTGAAATTGGTTATTTTTTTAATATGGCTATCTAAAAGAATATTATTATCATACCTCTTTATTTTATTGAGAATTATGGAAAGCATGAAAACAATAATATATTCTTTTTAAAAGAATGTAACTTGTATATTTTTTTAAAAGATAACTTATATATTTTAATGTTAGATCGAGTATTATAATTATAATAATAAAATTGTCATTTCATAATTAGTTAAAATTTTATATGAATAGTTCATATATTAATTTTAACTATACTCATTAATTGTGTACAATAAGCTTGTATCTTGTAAACCACTTTATTTAATTATAGAGTGTGACCTTGTAGTAGGTTTCTATAACATTAGTAATAATATTATTACAGTTCTAATATTAAAAACAATGTGTGGCATCTAACAATACACTGTTGCTACCTAAGTTGCATGAAGTAATGATTTGACATAATTTTGTCTATGATTAACCTTTCATATATATCTGTTGTCCATCATATATAATTTGGACACAAATAATGGAATAGTCACACTTGTATAGTCCATCTAATGTTCCTTAATATCTTGAGTATACTATGATAAAAAAATAAGTATAATATCTTGAGTATACTATGATAAAAAAATAAGTATGATATCTCGTATAAACTTACTTAAGCACATCCATGCATCTCTAATATCACATTATGTATAAGAGGCAATCTTATATTAATCAACTATCTCTCACTATATAGATTATTGTATATCCAACTCCAACCTTTATAGTACAATTAGTTAAGACAAACGTTTGACTGTATCAAAGTATACGACTCACGATATTAAGATAATGATGATCATAAGCCTGAGGATCATATACATAGTTATAACTATGCGTAATGTTGTAACTATCATATAATAACTCAAGAAACATACTCATAATGTGTTGGACAAATATATTGATTTTGACTTCTCTATGTCACTAACAACACTTTACCACCAATCAACTACACATTAATCTTAATGCATATGTCCATAATAATTTTGTTTGTTTACAAACACAATAAAATAAGTTGAAATAATAATGAGAATGTCTTTATTTAATAAATAAGATAAAATAAGTATTTAATTAGAATCATCTCATAATGAGTCTTTGGGCATACTTTAACAATTTCTTGTTGGTTGTCTCTACTTAACCATTAGTTTGCAGAGTTCTGACAGAGTATTTTGAGGGTAACGTGTTTAATAATATAAAGTTTAAAATGTTCTCCATTTATTTACAGATTTTACAATTTATTAAATTGTTGATACATGCCAACATCTTAATTATTAGTCAAAGAATCTAAATTTTTTCTACATATAATTTTAAACTTTATATAAAATATTGTAAATATTAAATTTATTTTATAAATATTTATATTCATATACTATTAGTATTTTTTAATAATAAATATTTAGATAATAATTAGAAAAGAAAGGAGTTGATGAATATTTAACACATGTCATTATCATCTTTCTCCACTTTAAATTTATTCCTACTTAAGTAGTGATTTAGTTGCCTCACTACAAGAAGCTTTAGTAAATCATTTGGTTGTAGGTATCTCTATAATGCTGCAGATGGAAGACTTGTGCAACACATTGAAAAGAAGAAAAAAAATGGCTTATTTATTAACTATTTTGCTTCCCGTTAAAATCTATGGGACTTTATAATGGATTCTGGCACTGGATTCTCTACACAAGTTTATGAACTTTCACCGTATTTTTTTCATATATATATATATGACCACCTTATCAATTAGTAATACAGAAATTGAGAAATCATCAATGGCGGCATCATATGTTCTCCATATGATATTCCTTTCACTTCGTAGAAATGATGATCGATAAGCAGTTCCAAATTCTATGTATAAGTAGATAAAACTACACCTCTCACGATCAGGCAGTGCTACGGCATGGAGAAATTATCCTCTGGACCTTTTGATTGCTGCCGTCAGTGAGTTGGGGACAGGAAGGTCCTCGGCGGACTTAGATCAAGGTAAACGGTCGGGCAAAACTCCGACGCAAAGCTCCTACGTGCGGAAATGAAGTCGGAATGGCTATGCACTGCTACGTGCTCATGTGCATACATATAGGAGCGTGGATGGAGGTAAGGAATGCAACACCGACACTACGAGGACTGTCGAATCTAGTCAAATAAAAAAAATTGAGCTATTCAAGTTGACGAATTTTATTTTATATTTCAAACTTTATTTGAAATTTATTTGAGTCGAGTTTATGAAATTCAAGTAGAGTTGAGTCATTCAAGTTTTTTTTTTAATTTAATTATAAATATTTATAATATTATGATACTATTTGATTCTAATTTAAATGATTTTCTATAATCATATACGCTATACATATATATGCTATATTTTTCCATATGCAATATACATATATCATGCATAGTTGAGAGACATGATTTGAATTTGAAAATCAATCTATTAATTACTAGAAAATTCTAGTTATTCTAATTATATTTTATAACTTAATTCGAATTTGAATTTTTAGTTAAGTCAAATCGAATCAAACTTTTTAACATTGAGTCAAAATTAAAATTTCGATTTTTTTAAGTGGAGTCCAGTTTTACATACCCTTAGTATGTACTATGCCCTATGCAACAATTATTATTTCTTTGGAGAAGGTGTTGGGTAGTTTGAGTCCAAGAGAGAGGCAAGTGATCAGATGGAGGTTTGGAATGGAAGACGGCAGGATAAAACTTCGCAAAAAATCAGGGAGTTGATGGGTGTAAGGAGCGAAGAATTCGACCCTAGTGAAAGAGTGAATTAAAGTTACGGGTCAAAGGATGTTAACATAATCAAAGAATGTCAACTCAATTACTCAACGTGGCGCACTAAACTTTCGTGATGTGATGACACAGGTTAACAGTTGAGTAATTAGTTTGTTATAAATAAATAATATTAATGATCAAATTATTAATTTTGAAATATTAGTAGGCAAAATAGAAACTTACTTAAACATTTATGTAGTTTATCCCTTTCTAATGGCATAATGTTAAAATTAGCCACTAATGTTTATTACAATGGTTATTTTGGTCTATATTATTTTTTAGAACATTTTGGTCTAAATATTTTATTTTAGGATAAAAATGCTCCTAACATTTAATCAAATAATCACTTTAACTTTTATTTTTTAAGAGTATTTCCCCCTTAATATTTTATTTCAGGATAAAATATCGCTATTTTAAAGCATTAATCGTTTGTTTACTGACGATTTCTATTAGTAGAGGGTATTTTATTCCAAAATAAAACGTTAGAGCCAAAATACTCTAAAAAATATAAACTAAAATAACTATTTAAACAAATATTAAAGTGCTTTTTTTGACATTATACCTTTCTAATAATGAATCAACCTCCCCTAGTTTTAAAACCTATGTAAAATAATATAGATAACGTACAAAAATAGTTCCCCGAATATCAGGTGATACTTTGTTAAATCCCTCGATTATTAAAAGTTTTAAAAGGATCACTCGACTATTTATATGTTCCAAATTCATTATTTTTCATTAAAAAATTAACAGCCATCTAAGCTGAACATTAACTTGTTGACTAAGATATAATAAAATTATATTTTAATAATGTCTATTAGTACCACCCTCGCTTTCAAGCAATGGTTCAATATTATAATCTTTCAAGTATTAACTCAACAATATAATGTAAACGAAGAATCGATTCATAAAGTACAACTCAAACTGTTATAAGATCATCTTTTATAATATCTCAATTAATAGGTTAATGTCCAGCTCAGATGATTGTTAATTTTTAGTAGAAAAAGACGAATTTAAAACATATTAATAATCGAATAATAATTTTATATTTTTTTAATAATTAAATAACTCAATAAAATAATATACTATAATTAATGTATCCTGTTATAATTTTTAATAGTTTGATACTTAACAAATCAATAGTCATAAGATTATCTGTGTATCTATCCAAATAAAATGCAGTGCAGATAAAACCCTGGCAAAACCCTTCTTATTGAGCCTTCCCCGACAGCCGCAAGCCTTCAGCTCCTTTTGCGGTTGTGCCGCCCACCCATATCTAATTACAATCGCCGGTGCGGCTGTTTGATCCGGCCAAAATTTCCTCTACTGGAAAGTAGAAACAAATGGCGGGGCTTGTTCATCCAGCTACTACGACAATTCCAGCCGAGGCATCCAAAACGGCGCATACCAAAGCTGAGGAGAAAACCGATTACATGAACCTCCCATGCCCTATTCCTTTCGAAGAGCTCCAACGCGAAGCTCTTAGTTAGTTTTCTCACTTTCTCATCAATGATTTTTCTTCTCTCTATTTTCTTTTATTTCATGATTTGTGATCATGTCTTGAGATTATGATTTGTGTGGTTATTTATCGATCTCTGTTGGATTATGTAAGATTTAATGATTTGGTATTTCTAATAGAAACGGTTAAGTTAGTGGAATGAAGTGACTGTAGATTTAGCTTTCGGTGCTTCTGCTTAGTGAAAATGATGGTTTTAGTTGATAATTTATACACGGGTGCAGAACTAGAAACTTGCTTATCTCTTTTTTTTTTTCTAATATGAGGGAATGGTTTTGATCAAACCCTAACTGCAAAATTAAGGTTTACTAAGGAGCACGATATGCAGTCTGCAGAGCTAGATCTAGCCTTTTATTAGTTTATTTGTGTGGTTATTTTAGTGTGTAACAAGAGCAGGATATGCGAATAATGTTTTGGAACAAGGGAAAGAAAAGGGTTACTAGGGAGCTAAAAGCATGCAAGAGTAAAACTTTAATAAGTTTGTTTGTAAAATGTTGTTAAGTTCTTGAGATACTATTTAAGTTTTTTTTTTGTTAATATATTAGAAAAAGGCCCATAAACCTTTTATTTTTTAATTAAATAAGCTATTATTCTTTTATTTTTATTCATGAAACTCTTGATCTTAAGTAAATTTAAAAATACTTTCATTTTTAAACTAGTTTATCTTTGATGCTAAATTACTAATATGTCAAAATGACATAGTAAAATTTTGTCATTAGGACAAGCTCATATTTTTAGCTTTACACATGCCGAAATTGTTTTGATTATAAAAGATTTAATCTAAATCTCTAATTATGAGCCTAAAACTATTTTTTTTTTGATAAGAAGCCTAAAACTATTTTAACATATCAAAATAATAAATATATTGAAATTTTACATTGACAGTTTCATATCTCAACAATATTGTTTGTAACTTGAGTATTTGGGTTTCTCCAATTGTACTTTTAGTTAAAATTAAGGGCTACTACTTTTAGTTAAAATTAAGGGCTTTCAATAATAAAAACAAAGAATAAAGGCTCAGATAATTACAAAAATAGCTTAAGGGCTTTTTTAGTATATTAACTTTTATTTATTTATGTTTAGGTCTTGAGTGATTTGAAATAGTGGTCAAAGTCTGTTTTTCTTCTTCTTGGAAACTGAATGTTTTATTGCTTGAAAATGTCTGGCAGTGTCTCTGAAGCCAGAAACCTTTGAAGGATTGCGATTTGATTTCACCAAAGGACTAAATCAGAAATTCTCACTGAGTCACAGGTGGCTTCAACTTCTTTTATTCTTATGGTTTTTTAGGGTAACTATTCTTTTCTATTTTAATAAATAATTGTAACTATTCTTTTTATCATCATTCCTCAGTGCGTCTATGGGCCCAACAGAAATTCCTTCTCAATCCGCTGAAACCATTAAAATTCCTACTGCTCACTATGAATTTGGTGCCAACTTCATTGATCCAAATGTAGGCTGCATCTTTCATTGTCACTACTCTTCCATTTCACCCTCTTATCCTCCTGAATTATTTTAGCTTTATAAGTCGATTTAAAATCAGGGTCAATCATGGTTTTCCCCAGCTGATGCTTATTGGGAGGGTGCTGACGGATGGTAGACTGAATGCTAGAGTGAAATGGGATTTGACAGACAATCTAACTGTGAAGGCTAATGCTCAGGCAAATCAATTTTTCATTCTTTGGTCTTTTGTCCTTTTTGTTCGCATGCGAATATATATTACCTTCATGTGTAAGATACTGCCAGTTGATAACTTTCTTGTTTCCCTTCCAGCTAACAAATGAGCCTCATATGTCACATGGCATGTTCAACTTTGATTACAAGGTTGGTCACATTTAAACTATATTATCTTGGTTAGTTGGCTTTGATCCGTGTATGCATTTTTATTTATCGTCATTGTGAGTGTGATACCTGATATTCTGATCTTTGTTTTTATTTTTTATTTTGAGTTTGTTTGTCCTCTGGATTATAGGGAGCTATTGTGCTTACAAAGGGAACTTAGGGCGTCTGGTTTTTGTCTTCTGACATCTTTGTTTTTCTTGTGCAGGGTAAAGACTACAGGTCTCAGTTTCAAATGGGAAATGGTGCTTTATTTGGAGCTAGTTATATCCAGGTAAATTGTATGAAACCACATATCTGTTGAATTAAGCTGACAGGTTAAGAACCTGGCATAATGGACAAGTTACAGGCTTATTAGTACATAAAAAATTGGCTTTGTACGTAGATTCAGTATAAGATGGACTTGCAATTTAAAATACTATAAGATAATATACTGTTAATGGTAGAAGCAACCTAGACTTTCTCTGCTGAAGGCATTCTGCATATAGCATGTTCGCAGTTTAAGAGAAGCATTGCACATCATACATCATCAGTCTTTCAGCTGAATCCACTACTTCTGGAATTTGATTCTGTTGTTTTTAATGAACTGAATTTAAGCCTTATTTATGCAGAGTGTGACACCACATTTGTTCTTAGGTGGTGAAGTATTTTGGGCTGGTCAGCACCGGAAGTCAGGCCTTGGTTATGCTGCCCGGTATGAAACAGATAAGATGGTAAGCCAGATTCTGTCCTTTATCAACGGCTTGTCAATATTCTTTTGTGCTAGTTAGTGGGTGTTGTTTAATACTTCTAAATATGTTTCTAGATCTGTTACAGCGGTAGGGGTGTGTCATTTGGATCCCTAACCAAATTGCTGATTAGGGTTGCCAAGGTGTGAGAACCAGGATCTCCTTTCTTTTCAATGGTTAGTGACATTTCCAAAATATGGAAGTGGCGGACCAAGTCATCGGAATCAAGGACATGGTTTAGGGCTGTGTTTCTGTAGGTAAAACTGGATGTGTATTCAAAACTAATTTAATACATAGATTTAATGTTTCTAGATCTGTTACAGCAGTAGTGGTGTCATTTAGATCCCTAACCAGAGACTGCTGATTAGGGTTGCCAGATTGTGAGAACCAGGGTGTTCTTCTTTTCGATGACTTGCGTCATTTCAAAAATAAGGATGTAGTGGACCAAGTCATTAGAATCAAGGGCATGGACTCATGGTTTAATGCTGTTTTCTGAATGTAAACCGAATCAAAACTAGTTAATACAATGATTGGTGTTTGGCATATTCCGCTACTTGGTCAAAATTTTATGATTTCAAGTGTGCGCACGTGTTATAGGCTCTTGAAAAGGATTTTAGTTAAGGGTTTAAACTTCTCATGAAGTTCTTAGATCTTCGGATATACTGTTTCTCAGGTCCCTGGATATTTGATGGCAATCTTCTTCCAATTCTGAGCTTTTAATCAATAAAATAGTTAATTTGCTTCTCCCTCAAAATTTTTTGCCTTACCCCTGCCAAGAGGAACTTCTTATTTGTTTGGGTTTGAAATATTATTTCTAGAAATATCCACTGTTTAGGGCATTTCATAATTCTGAGGTCTCTTACGGAAGCTGCTCTCAACCTGGTGTTGGGGGTAGCCTACTATCTTACCTCCCCCTACCCTATATATATGGGAAAAAGGGACAGCCATTTATCCACTGTTTGCATTATGCTTGTATTACTAACCTAAGCATTCTCTGGATCCAGGTTGCTGCAGGGCAAGTTGCAAGTACCGGAATGGTTGCTTTGAGCTATGTTCAAAAAGTGTCCGAGAAGGTAAGAATTTATTTTCCTCTTAATGATATTGCAGTTCTTTTCCTTGTCATTCTCATGCGGTTTTATTTCTATCAAGGTTTCTTTAGCATCAGATTTCATGTATAATTACATCACTAAAGATGTGACATCAAGTGCCGGCTATGATTACATCCTCAGACAGGCAAGTTTTTCGTTGCTAAAATTCTGATATTAGTGTGCATCGATATTCCTGCATGTTTATAGTTTATACATGTTGGAGTTGAGGATATTTATTGTTTTAACTATCACGATTTTATTGATTTCTCACATTTCAGTGTCGTTTGAGGGGGAAGATCGATTCTAATGGATGCACAACTGCTTATCTAGAAGAGCGGTTAAATATGGGCCTAAATTTCATCCTCTCCGCGGAGGTAAGATTAACATTTTTAAGAAAGAGATCTGCAATTATGTCTTTTTGTTTTTGATTGTGAATATGATGCCATTACTCCTTTATGTTTAGCATTTTCACTTGTGATCAAGCCCTCGAGTTCATGTTTGTCAACATCCTTTGCTGGATTTGTTTTTCTGCAGATAGATCATAGGAAGAAAGACTACAAATTTGGATTCGGATTGACCGTAGGGTGATTCGATTTTTCCGTAAAAAGCCGTTTGTACAGGGTTCTTCGGCATATGGTTGAAGATTACAGAACTGAGAATTTGTACTTTGAACTATTGTTCAGCTGGTAGTGTGTAGCGATTTTTAACTGTTGTCGGATTCTTAATTTTTGTAAAATTATATAATTATTAATACTATTCTATTAAATTGTTTATTCTGGATTATATCTTCCTTTCTTTAGCCTTGTTAAACTGCTTCGATTCCAAGTTGAAAGCTCTGCGCTAACTTGATTTCTTGGTGGCTAAGAATGGGAGAAACAGGAAGGTCTTGGCGGAAACTGCGTTGGTGTCCTTGAAGAAGCCTCGATGATACTTTCTTCATTTGAATCCCATCCGATGAAGCAAAGTTTTTTTTTCTTCAAGAAAATGTTCAGATCATCACATAATTTGATCAGGGTTTTAGGATCTGATTTCAAAAATCAAGTTTACGATTAAGTCGCCCACCGTTTTCGCATTGGAAACGATGATCGAAACATCAAGTTTTGCTTTACGAGCCAGAGTTTTTTGAGATGATTGTGAAGTTCTGAAACAAGCTATAAGTGTGTCAAGTTTCAACAAGCAATCAATGCATGTTTGCGTGGGTAGTTCTGCGATGCGGCGCCTAAAAAACGGTTAATATACGACATGACCGGTTAAATAAGTGACCGGTTAAAATTTAGACCGGTTATGTTATATTATTTAACCGAAAATATTATAAAGTACAATAACATAATAGGTAGCGCTTATATAATGTAATAGGTAGCGCTTATATTTACCTATTTTATAAGTAAACCGGTATATTTATACCGATAGCATTACAAATTTACCTATTACATTATAATATGTTGAAAGTGTCCATACTTTTTATAAAAAGGATCGATACTTTTTTTAAAGTTATGTAATTTATTTTTCAATTTCTTTTAATAGTGTTTCATGTTTTCCTACCTATTACATTATAATATGTTGAAAGTGTCCATACCTTTTATAAAAAGGATCGATACTTTTTTTAAAGTTATGTAATTTATTTTTCAATTTCTTTTAATAGTGTTTCATGTTTTCCACCTACAATATTAATTTAATAATTTCATTTGCACAAAAATTATTTGATTGTTTTGATATTTTATAAAATATTATTTAGAATTTAAATTTAACAATATTAACCAAAGATAATAATAAATATGTAATATATATGCTTATTGTTTTTAATTTAATAATAATATATATAGTAACGTAAAAATAAATCATTAGACGCCTATAATTACTAAATTAATATCTTAAAACTCACTCAAAAGATAACCTTAAATTAATGTTTTCCACAGTGAAAAAAGTATAGACACTTTTATAAAAAAAGATAGATATTTTACAATATAACCACTACCTATTACATTATATAAACGATATCTATTACATTATATAAGCGCTACCTATTACATCATATTTTTACCTATTATATTGAAAGTGTCTATAATTTTTATAAAAATGATCGATACTTCTTTTAAAGTTATGTAATTTATGTTTCAATTTTTTTAAGTATGTTTCATGTTTTCCACCTACAATATTAATTTAATAATTTCATTTGCACAAAAAATTATTTGATTGTTTTGATATTTTATAAAATATATTTAGAATTTTTAATTTAATAATAATATATCGTAACGTAAAAAAGAAATCATTAGACGCCTATAATTACTAAATTAATATCTTAAAACTCACTCAAAAGATAACCTTAAATTAATGTTTTCCACAGTGAAAAAAGTATAGACACTTTTATAAAAAGGATAGATACTTTACAATATAACCACTACCTATTACATTATATAAACGATACCTATTACATTATATAAGCGCTACCTATTACATCATATTTTTACCTATTATATTGAAAGTGTACATACTTTTTATAAAAAGGATCGATACTTTGTTTAAAGTTATGTAATTTATGTTTCAATTTTTTTAATAGTGTTTCATGTTTTCCACCTACAATATTAATTTAATAATTTCATTTGCACAAAAAATTATTTGATTGTTTTGATATTTTATAAAATATTATTTAGAATTTATATTTAACAATATTAACCAAAGGTAATAAAATATGTAATATATGTTATTGTTTTTAATTTAATAATAATATATATCGTAACGTAAAAAAGAAATCATTAGACGCCTATAATTACTAAATTAATATCTTAAAACTCACTCAAAAGATAACCTTAAATTAATGTTTTCCACAGTAAAAAAAGTATAGACACTTTTTATAAAAAGGATAGATACTTTACAATATAATCACTACCTATTACATTATATAAACGATACCTATTACATTATATAAGCGCTACCTATTACATCATATTTTTACCTATTATATTGAAAGTGTACATACTTTTTATAAAAATGATCGATACTTCTTTTAAAGTTATGTAATTTATGTTTCAATTTTTTTAAGTATGTTTCATGTTTTCCACCTACAATATTAATTTAATAATTTCATTTGCACAAAAAATTATTTTGATTGTTTTGATATTTTATAAAATAATATTTAGAATTTTTAATTTAATAATAATATATATCGTAACGTAAAAAAGAAATCATTAGACGCCTATAATTACTAAATTAATATCTTAAAACTCACTCAAAATATAACTTTAAATTAATGTTTTCCACAGTGAAAAAAGTATAGACACTTTTACAAAAAGGATAAATACTTTACAATATAACCACTACCTATTACATTATATAAACGATACCTATTACATTATATAAGCGCTACCTATTACATCATATTTTTACCTATTATATTGAAAGTGTCCATACTTTTATAAAAAAGATCGATACTTCTTTTAAAGTTATGTAATTTATGTTTCAATTTTTTTAAGTATGTTTCATGTTTTCCACCTACAATATTAATTTAATAATTTCATTTGCACAAAAAATTATTTGATTGTTTTGATATTTTATAAAATAATATTTAGAATTTTTAATTTAATAATAATATATATCGTAACGTAAAAAAGAAATCATTAGACGCCTATAATTACTAAATTAATATCTTAAAACTCACTCAAAAGATAACCTTAAATTAATGTTTTCCACAGTGAAAAAAGTATAGACACTTTTATAAAAAAGATAGATACTTTACAATATAACCACTACCTATTACATTATATAAACGATACCTATTACATTATATAAGCGCTACCTATTACATCATATTTTTACCGATTATATTGAAAGTGTCCATACTTTTTATAAAAAAGATCAATACTTCTTTTAAAGTTATGTAATTTATGTTTCAATTTTTTTTAATAGTGTTTCATGTTTTCCACCTACAATATTAATTTAATAATTTCATTTACACAAAAAAGTATTTGATTGTTTTGATATTTTATAAAATAATATTTAGAATTTAAATTTAACAATATTAACCAAAGATAATAATAATATGTAATATATATGTTTATTGTTTTTAATTTATAATGTAAGTTATGTAATAGGTAGCGCTTATATTTACCTATTTTATAAGTAAACCGGTATATTTATACCGGTTATATTACAAAATTATCTATTACATTTTCAATCGACACTTTGTTGTGGATATCATCGAAAACAATGTTATAGTCATGCGTTTCGATACATTTGCAAGAAGATGTAAAATACATTAGTATTGATATTTCAACAATCCTCAAATGTATATGTACACATAAAAGCAAAATATGGAATAATTAATGAAAATATACACATAATATAATCACACCAAAATATAAATACACAAGAATGTTCAAATAATGTACCGACTAACAAAATTAATCCGATGAAAAAGGGTTATTTCTAACGAAGTCCTGAACATTAGAGGCCTTCAACAAATTTTCCAAATACTCTCGTATGTTTCCGCTTTTTTCTGAGGACATACATAAATAATTTTAATTATCAAACTAATGAGGTGCAATTTTACTAACAATAAACTACATTCGCATAAGCATGAATAAATTTGTGTCATACCTAGAGCATTGTCGTTCGAATGGGAAGCAGCGTCAAAGGTATGTGGACATATGTAATTGTATTTCTATATAAACACATAAGTTGTTAAAATAATCAATGTCTGAACACATGTTCAACTGGAAAAACATATTGCATAAATGCAACTTACCGGATTATAAATCATTTTTTCCGCTGAATCATCGACCAAAAGTGTATTTAGCTCGTTAAAATCTGGACACGCGTTCCAAACATCATTGAGATCTTTACAGTAGGTAACAGAATCGTATGTTTTGCATTTTTTTGATCCTGCTCACAAACAGTCGAACATAAATATGTAGGAATCATAGACAACGAAAAGTTAGCAAACTGTAATGACATTCATCTTACCCACATGAATAGAAAAATGCTCGGAAAATACAGGTAGTTTCTCAAGTACACAATCGACGTTATGCCTGAGATTGTAATCAAGTTTGAATGTTATCATTCAAATGTATATTAACGATTTTGACTACAGTAATTCAATTGCTTCAAACATGTTCTAACCTCATCTTTGAAGACCAAAGGGCAACAACAAAATTGTCGACACAAAATTGCATAAATTCAAATAATCCTCTTCTGAGGACAACATCTACAACATGAAGAAAATGAGATTAAAGTTCTACGCTTATATGTTAAAATAATGGATACAAAAGAATAGAATTAAAACCTACAGGCAGTCTTGGGATGTAGGCAAGGAAACCATTGAGATCAAAAATTAAAAGTTTTCTTGAAGGCGGCGTTGCAGAAACGATATACTTGTTTGGATCATCATCATCATCATCTTCATCGTCAGCTTCATCGTCAGCTTCATTGTCATCATCATCGTCATCTTCATCGTCAGCTTCATCTTCATTGACCGCTTGGTTGTCCACATCTGTTAAAGAAAAAAATAAAGTTCAGAACGTGTAAATGTTAAGAAACATAGATAATGAATTACCTAACTCGTTTGATGTCGTTGACGTAATTCGTTACGCAACATGGAGACTTCATGTTGCAATGATGAAATATCGGATCGCATTCCACTCACAAGGGAATCAATATGCTCCCGAAAATTGACCATGTATTCCATCACAGTCTTAATTGTGACATCCTCTGCAACTGGAGCTTCTTCCATCATTGCGTCTCCACTTGGTTGCTCTTCTTCATGGCCAACGGGGTCCATTTCCTCCCTC